CCATTCACCTGTTCTGTTCCTCAAGTTTAGCGAGTAATTCTAAGTCGTCTGGACTCAGCTGTGTTGGTGAGGATGGTGATAACACGGGTGTAGACAGAGTGGTAGAGGAGGATGTAGTGTGTAATGAGGCAGATGGACTTGCCACCTGACTGGCCATTTGACTGACGGTGTGCGATACAGTGTTCTTCACCCATGAGAGAGTAGAGCTCAGCTTTCCTGCAACCTTGCCTGTCGCCACCTGTGATGACAAAAAGAAGAGGATGCAATAGTTGTCTTTTTTTTTTTAATACTTTTCTCAGTAAACCTGCTGTCACTGAAGAGAGGAAAAAAAAATATATATATATACAGTATGCATGAAGTGACAATGAGATTATTTATTTCTTCAGAACACCCAAGGCTGTCAGAAGCAACACAAGCATCAACAGCAATACAGTATCATAGAAGTAACATGCAAGTGTGCTGCTAATCCACAAAGAATGACTCAGGGGAATTCCTGACGTATACTCACAGAGCTAATTTCTGCAGTACAGAAACACCACAGGGTCCAAGGTCAGCTCAGACTTCCCATTACAAAAATAAGTAGAAATAAAAGCTTATTTTAAAACATCTTGATAAACTAATAATGGCACAGAAACTGTAGAAAAACAGATGTAGAAACAGTCAACTACTTGACTGATGGACACTGGAACAGTACAAGTACATCACTGTAAACACCCCAGACCACCCACTGCTCACCTTCATTAATCCCTACAGTGGCAGGACAGAGGAGCAGGGGCACCGCATTTCTAATCTACACCAAAGCAAAAGATCCTCTAGCATCTGCCAGCGTGCAGAAAACAGGCACAAAGATTTACGCCCGTGAATCCACAGCAGCTCCTGAACATCTTACATTAAATGCCTCATGCCGCCAGCTCTTCTCCTCCCTCGCTTTCTCTTCAGGTCACCCCTACTCCAAGTGTCCTTGACCCTGATCTGGGGGGTGGGGTGCCTGGACCCCACTGGATCTGCCAGTGCCTGGACAATCCTGGGGTTTGAGAGGGGTCCTGGAGGAAAAGCGAGAGGTGCTGCTAGAGCAGAAGGGAGCTCTGAGGGGACAGTCAGGGAAACTGCAGGTCCAGGAACGAGGAGGTTAACTGGGGCTGATCGTAATCTGCTGCTACTTCTTGACCAGTGTTACAGGGTAGTGCAGCCTAATGGATTCATGGATCACTAAAGAAAGAGCAGCAGCCCCTGGAGTTATTTTCTAATGAACCCCTCACTAGACCTTCCTTCAGCAACTGCAAATGTAAGAGGCTTTGACCTACAGTGATTCACAACAGAGTTCAATTCCTCCCCTAGCCCAACTCAGAGAAAATCTAGCTGCCCCTTAAAGGAAGAGCTAGCTGCCTAGCAAAAGCTTAAAGCTTTTCAAAACTGAGGTTGAAGAGGAACTTCCTTTGAAGTGGTGCTGCTGGCAACTATTTATTTTGACCTTTGCTGACATCCTCAAAACACCGAATTGCTCAATGGTTGTCACAAACAATCCTGCAGTGCAGCCTATACAATAACTGCTAAGATACTAAAGCTACAGGGAAAAAACCACCTTCCCAAGATCCTCTAATAGAATCTCATTAAAGCAGAATTTCAACTGGACAAAGCAACTCCATCTCAGCACACCGTGCATTTGTCTGAAGCACAGTATATAGACTGAGTGACTGGTTGCTAAAGCAGAAGCTTTTATTTAGATACAATGCTACAATGAAGTTTTTTGTGAATCAAATCCAGCAGTATTTTATTTTCACGTCACATCAAAAGGAAGATGCACTGAACGCCTTCAGAAAACAAGAGGAACACTACAGGCCAAACACAAAACAGGGGTACTCAACCCCCCTGCTTCCTCTCCACCAGCAACATGACACTTAAGAGCTCTCCTAGATGACTGCAACGAGGTTTCCAATTTCCATAAGCTTAACATTCATTCTGGAAACGGTAACAGATTTTGCTAGAAATCTTCAGATGCAGGGATACAAACCGCAGGTGGGAATGGTAAGGTCCCAACGTAAGCAGCAGAAAGGTTCCAGTTGGTTCTTATGTCACTGTTGGACAGGAAAGCTCAGGTATATCAATATGTTTAAAAAAAACCCAAACAACAATACATGATCTTCTAAAGATAATCTTTGAAAAAAATCACTTCCAATACTAGCATTTGACACCATCTTTTATACAAGAAAGGAATAAAAATCGCCAGAGGTTTCAAAATCTTAATACATGCATTAATATTTCACTCAGTCAATATCCTTTATTCTCTATTGCTATGAAAGAATAAGTTATTGCTGCTTCACTTTGAAGAAAATAGCATTATGATAAAGGTAACTCATACATCTCACTTAAGACTGATTATTTTCTCAAAGGCTTTAAACTGCTTAAAACATGACAAGTAATGCAACTATTCCAAAGAGAAATGTTGGCAGAAACGGGGCCAATCTTAAGAACACAGCAAACGTGACTGCCATACGCAGCGGGTTTTAAGAGTCACCCATTCTAAGTATCTTGCATATAAATATTAGAAAAGCAGTGATTGAGTAATACCCTCTGTGACAGAAACAGGAAAAGTATACAATCAATTTTTATCTCTTTACAAATTAAAGCGACTAGGAAGACTTCAGGTGAAAAAGTAACTCCAAGCTGAGTCTGGCTTACACATTATGAGGCTCACACTCCATGTTAAGATGGCTGAAGCGGGGGGTGGGGGGTTGGAGGATGGAAAAGAAGAATCTTACTAACATTCGTTCACCAACACATCACCAGGCATTAGAAAATTAATGCAAAGGCTTGTAGAAACCAGTTATGCGAAGAATACTACGAAAAAGTATGGTCAAGAAAACCACGCAAGGCAGCAGTTAATTCAGAACAATGGGTCTAACAACACTCCTGTTTCTAAAAGCAGCTCAGAGTTTCATCAGAATGTATTCAGAGTATTAGTGCCACAAAAAATTCCTAGTCTGAAAGCATTAACATATATAACAAGCAAAATGCACGGTTGCAAAAACCAAATGTTTGAAGATCAAATGGCTCACAGCGAAGTTTGTATCAAAAACACATGAAGAATTCATCTGGGGAAAACAGCTACGGCAGTCACCCAGGGCCAAGCTAAATTAAGGAAAAAAACCCCGATATAATAGCTAACTAGTCAAGCCTACACCCCTTTTGCCAGGCTTTTCCAGAGTTTCCTAAAAATCTAAAGCCAGCTCTCAAATTGTCAGCGTCAGTGTAGACTCCTGGACCTAGACATGAAGACATTTAGTATCAGTTTGTTATCGCTTTCCCTAAATAGGATAGAGTAACAGGATTTTCATATTTCATCATTTCACCTATGTTAATTTCAAAATTTATATTCAGTGATGGGAGATTTCATAGAGTTATTCTTTGACAAGTGACTTAAGGCCTTCCAGAAAACAGGTCACTGGAATTTGAAAATGAGAAAACCTTTCTGAGGTTTCCACTGTACTGTGGAACAGCACACCAGTATTCCTATCAACACGCACACCGTGCTCCTACGCTTGCCCTTCCCACTCTTTAGCCTTCTCTTAATACAGAATGAAAACCCCTCCTACGTGTCATAACCTTTTCAGCTCTGTGTACACCATCCCATCTAACAGGGAAGTTGTACTATTATCATAGACCACTGCTACTTCCCACCTTTCTGCCCACGATCCCTGCAACAAGAAATCCGTGTCCCACTACTAAGACAATACATACGCATAGTACAGAAGTGAATCCTGCTGACTCCCAAGGGCTATGTACCTCCTTCCTCTGACAGCACAAAGGAAAGAGCTAAAGGTGTCACGCTAGAGCCCCCTTCAGAGAAACTGGGGCTCCCCAATTAAAAAAAAATCACAGAGCTATCAAGTTGCTGAAATTAGTCCTTCTGCCTTTAATTATACCAATGAGAATAAATTCCGTATGAACGATGGCAGACACTTTCACTGGGTATCACCAACTCCAGGAAACACAGGAAAATCCGGATGAGCATTTGGATTAACACCTCCCTGCTTTAGAGATGTGATTTTGCTTACCATGGCGTTCTGGAAAGACTCGAGAAAGCCAGTATCATTAAACCTTTCCTCTTTCCTTTGTATTTTTGGACACAGTCTCCTCAAGGTTTTCCTAAACAAATGTTTCTTTTAAAAACTGGTTGTTATTATTTAACCAGTGATATTTCTGCAGGCCTGCAGCAGCGTCTCCCTTTTGGCTACAACAAACGATGCTCTGGAGTTAGGAAGTGTCCTTCCCTTTGCTACTCTTCATTACTGTGGAAAAGAGATCAGAGTCATGCGCTCAGCTGTTTGTAGCAGTAACAAGGACAGCCAGATACACCACAGTGCCCGCCCCAAAAACTTAGCTGGGTCTCAGCGATAAATCTAACTACAAACGAGACAGGACTTTTGCCTTTGCCATCATCCTCTCACGAAGCGCATACACCTATGCTACTTCCACCCCGTTCCGCCCTCCCTCACCGCTGAAGCGCCCACGCTCGTCAGGCTGCTCTGCCTGGCGCCCTCCTGCGCTACACTGCGTATCGCGGGCAGCTCGAGAACAGACTCTGCTCCCTCAGTCCCCATGCTTACCAGATCCACGCAGGCTCTCCATCCCCTCAGCTAACCAGCTCAGGCTGGAAGCCCCCAGTTCACAGTGTTCTTTGCCCAGCCCACCTCAGCCAGTTTTTCAACTTTGCAAAGAGAATGGCTTTCCTTTTTATTCCCAGCATTTTTCAGAGGCTGAAATTCAAGTTGCATCTGAAGAGTATAAAAGGTAACCAACGTTGCCTGGGAAGCATGCCAAATCATCGAGAGCACCATCAGGATGATCAAGCCATTATTATTAATGTGTGATCAAAAGCAGAGTCAACCCATTTTAAAAGTGTGCCTCTTCCCCAGAGGGGTCTCACTCAGGACCTTGCCAATTAATCAGACTTTGAACACAAGTGCTGCTCCCAGGGACACCAACACCTTCCACCGAAGATGGCCAGGTCTGGAGACGAGCAGGCAGGGGTACGCCTTCTTTACCCTTTGCAGGAGGACACAGGGAGCTGAGCAGGCGTCATCCAGCTCCAGGCCAGGTATATTCATTCAGGCTCCGAGCCATATTAACAGCTACACTGCTCCCGCTTTTCCAACAGACCCAGAGCACAGGAAGAGTTCGTTTGCATCTGCCTGCCTAAGACCACGTAGATACCTCCTAAATACATGTGTGAATTCGGAGTTTGAAAACACTGATGTTTAAAAAGTTGAGGGGGACAAGACTTAACTACTAAAGACTTTCTACTCTGCTGCAGTTCCCAGCGAGCAAAACAGAACCGCCAGCCATTCTCACCCATCTGGTCAGTCATCAGGCAAGGCACAGACCTCTCTGCTACGTACTTTAAGCTACTGCAAAGATAAAAAATGTTTCTATCGATATTATACACAGATACATATGATGTGCAGTTTATATATGCCAATTGAAATACATAAAATTTGGTATCTCAACTTTATGCTTAGTATCTTTAATTAGCTGCAGATTACAGCGCTTTATTACCAACAGGAAGTACAATACTGTGTTTCGATTTTTGAGTTACTCAAAGGAATACTGCAGTGGAGCAGTATATGAAATATTTTAAGTAAGGCTAGCTGAAGGCAGACCGCAGCATCCCACGTTACATACACTTACATAAATCCCTTTCCCCGAGAATCCCAAGGTATTGTGTGCAGCACCTTACAGTAAGCCCAAAAACGTTACCACCACATACTTTTGCATTTGCCAGACAGACAATATTTTTCTAAAAAAGTCTGTTTAGATTTTTTTTTAAAAAAAGGTATTTCACTGTACACATTGAATTAGCTTAATACCCATATTCTGCATTTCCCTGAGGAAAATGTGTTAAACTTACAGGTATCTTGGTTACCCAAAATACTGTCTCAACTATTCTTATCATATGACAAAGTAAAAATAACGGCAAGCCTTACACAAACACTACTGTATGTATTATATGCTCTCTACTCTTTCTTCTCCTCCTGAAAAGGGAAGGAAATGGGAACTTCCAGAATACAGGGAGTAATCCTCATGCTATTCTACATATAAAAAGGAGCCTCACATAATTGGGGCTGCAATTGTATCTATGGTTTTCAAGCCAGTTACATAGCATTCCATGGACCCAGCCTCCTGCTTGCTTCAAAAAGGTTAACAGCATTCCGATATCTGAAGAATAAATTAAATGGACTCAGTCAATGACATATGCAGGAGAGGTAGCTGGTGAATCAGCCTGTTATCATGCTTCCTGACATAATTTAGGGCTCAAACATGGTTTCACTACAAGCTTCATCTGTATCTTTTATACTACAAATTCATATAACTGATTTCTGCTGAAGTCTGAGGAAAAAGTCCTGATTTACTCTCACATTCCTGATTCTTCTTGTAATATCACCTAACAATACTCAGGAATATCACAGCTAGCATTCACCAGCTTCCGTTGCACTTGATATTCACTAGCTCTCCAAGTCTTTCTGATATAAAGAATAAAGCAGTCTAACATTTTATATTGTGTAAATCTTAAGCTATCAGAAAGCTTTCTGTAGTATTGTTTAGTAAATACACATTCTTTAAAAGTCGTCTTCAGACTCTAACACATTGGGGTTTTGATGGTCCCAAAACATCTGAAAGAAGAAACTTGAAGCTGCAAGTTCACATACGCAAAATAACGATCTAGTATGTAAGGTGTTTTAAGGAGGTACTTCATTAGAAATGTCGTAGTGATCCACTAAAGGTTGAAACCATTGCTCAAAGTCATATGAATAGCATTTCAATCACTGACCAAACTGCACTGAATTCTATTTATTTCCAAGAACAATTCCAGGTTTTTAATCACCTCTGAAGTCCAGTGTGGTTTATAATCTGTCAAGCATTGTCCCAGTATGCTAGCTGAGAAGACAAACCATGGTGCTTTTGCAGTGTGCTGGTTCTGGCTGGGATAGAGTTAATGTTCTTCACAGCAGCTGCTATGGGGCTGCGGTTGGGATTTGTGCTGGAAACAGTGTTGATAACACAGGGATGTTTTCGTTCCTGCTGCGCAGTGCTGACACACAGTCAAGGCCTTTTCCGCCTCTCACCCCACTCCACCAGCGACGACGTTGCGGGCG